GACATCTTGTTCTGGGGTGTTGTGCAGTTTGTCTCTGATTAATCCTTAAAGGGGAATCCACCTTTTTACAGGCTGAACTTTTCAAATTTTGGTGTTTGATGTTTTTCTAACGGATGTTAACATCAATCAACTATAACTATTCTTTAAATAAGAGTGAAGGGATAGGATTAAGGAAGCAAGAAATAGAGAAAAAGAAATGGGCATGTGAGAAAGAAATCAAGGAAAGACTCGCAAAATCATAATTCGACCCCTGGGAATTGTTTAGTTGAACAGTTTGAAGCTGAGGGTGGATTTTTCCTTTAAACTGCTGACATACGCAGAGGCCGTCACTCTGACTAGACTAACTGAGTCTCGTTGTCCAGGGGGGAGTGGACGGAGGCTACACCAAGGAAAAGATCCGCATTGTGGAAGGCGTGTGTCTCCTGTCCAATGAGGAGCTTTACTGGGACGACCTAAAACAGATCAAGCCGTCCAGAGGAGGCCTGCACACCTGCATGCGCACAGACACCGTGTCCCTGCAGGCCAGCAGTGCTTCGCTAGATGATGGCGAGACGGAGCAGCTCCTCCAGGAGGAGGCGTCCGAATGCTCTTCCATAACCACCCTGACTCCTTCAGCCATCACCCCGCAGCGTCACGCCCAGCACAGCCTGCCCGACACTGGCTGGACCTCCACACGCAAGCCCTCTACCGAGAGCGAAGTGTGAGGGAGGCCCCCCCCCTCCCCCGCCGCCGCCCTCTGTGCTTTATCTAAACCTCTGTTACCTAATACACACATACACACACATACCTGTATTTATAGCTGGTACAAAAACACAAAGGTAAATAGGTACAATCACAGTAACATTTGCATATGTAGAGTAACGGTACATATGAACCTGGTTAGACACAACTAAGCTCCCATAAACACAACTCCTGTCTCTGAAAATGGGGCTCCGTCCTACTTGTGCGCGCACACACACACACACACACACATACACACACACACACACACACAACCACACACACACACACACACACAGTACAGTCCTTCAACAGTACCCTCAGTGCTACTGCCTTTAGGCAAAAATGATAGACTAATGAGCATGCTGGAATAAGAAAGCAAATAACTCTGGGGAGGAAGTGAACAGAGAGACACGAGCGTTATCTGGAGCCTTTTTAAAGGATGCAGACTCTGAATGCGACGGACGCTTCTCTGTGTACAACTTCACCTTTATTTTTTGTGAATTTTTTTTTTTTTTTTTTGGACAAAGCTAAAATGACATACTCCCTGGATGATGTAACCATGATGCTCTCTCTAATACCACTCATGTCTTTATGAACTCTATTTATGAACGTTTTTGTACTTGTAGAGTGGGTTTGCTGACTTCCAGAGAACGGTGGGAGTGTTGTGTTAGAACTTTGTGCTGCAGGACCTGGGTTTTCAAGAGTTGTATTTATGACAGTGCCAAAGGGTGGGGCTTCACAGAGTCTCCATACTTGTTTCTGCATTTACACTACAGTAGAGATGTATCTTAATTACGGATCGTTGATTTTCCTCCACCTCAGTGACGACACCTGCTTCTGATTCCTTATTTTACAACCTCCAACGGGTCAAGCAAGGACTTGCTGTAGCTGGTGCTCTAAGCTGGTTGCAGAAGTCCATTCATCCTCAGCAAAAGTAAACTGAAAGGAGCCTTTTGTGTGTGTGTTTTTTTTTTTTTTTTTTTTTTTTTAAAGTTGTGACTCAACCATTGTTGATCCTCGGGCATAGAAGAGGAAGCCGCGATGAAGTAACAGCCTAAGTGCCAAACATTTCATTCTTTTTCCTCCTTCAACCTATATATTTATTTTTCTCAGAGGTTTTAAAAATGTACATTCTTTTTTTTTTTTTTTACTTGGGTTTGGTCACCCAAATCTTAAAAAAAACATATCTTCTCACTTACCACTGCTGCTGTTCAGCCATGCAGATAGTTGTGGTTTTATTTACCCAGCTGATAGATACTGTATATGTCTCTGGGATTTCTCCTGCCCACAAACACTGGGGTTTACTGTGGAACTACTTCCTCAGTGCAATCTCGCATTGGAAATTTCTCTCATTGGTCTTTCCAAAAAATATATATATATATATGGTTCAGGTTCCTGGGGTTTTCTATCCAGATAAATGATGATCTATGAGCACTTACTATTACAATTTGAACATGAACAATTGAACAACATTTGAACAATTTTGACATGTTTAAAAACAATTCATTTTTTAGCAACTAAAAAAAGTATTTCCTTGAGTGCAAGAGTGCATGTTGTACACTGTCGTCACCATTGTTCCCTCAGCCATGATATCCACCTTTAGCTTAGCTGTAATTCCAGCTGTATAACAAAAGTATATGCCATTCTGCCCTCCCTGTCCATTCTTATAGCTTGGTACTTTGACCCACAATGGTCTTAGGCATGCAGGTTGGTACTTTTTTTTTTTTGTTGAGGCTGCTACAAACAGAAATATTATAATAATGAACAACTACAGACAGGTAATGAATTAAAGGAAAAACCAACATAAATGTCTTGGTAAGGTGTTCGGCCACCACGTGTTGCCAGAACAGCATTGATTCTCTACGTCTCTGGAGTCTGGACTGTACAGGAGGGATGAACACCATTCTTCCAGAAGGTATTGCCCCATTTGGTGTTTTGATGATGATGATGATGATGATGATGATGATGATGATGGTGGAGAGCACTGTTGAACATGTCGGTCCAAAATCTCCCATAGCTCATAGCAAATGATGTGAGTCACATCATTTTCGTACTCGTGAAACCATTCAGTGACCCCTTGTGTCCTATGGATGGGGGTGTTGTTATCCTGTTTTTAGGTTTTTCCTTTAATTTGCCACCCATCTTTACTTTGTTAAAAAACAAAGAAAAAAAATACCTTTTTTAACAAATTGACTTAACTGAACAGGATAATATTAAGAAGGATTGTGGTTTAGAGTTAGATTGATAGATATCTGCATCACTACAAATTTCAATGTGATTTTTGAGTCAGATTTCCTTACTTCTGGAACATAATCACAGAAGTTTCAGTTCCACTTTGGCTCTCTACTGTTTTATTGGGGGAGTTGCAAGTTTCAGAGGCTAATCTATCAGGAAACTTGGCACGTACAACCAAAAGTATCTGCGTGACCAAACACTACTAGAGGTAAATGAGAACATTTGTTCTTTTCACGATTTGAGTTTTAATCCATCAACTCTAAATCTGTAATGTAGGTGCACTCGCAGTGTCTGCCACAGTACAGCATAACAAATGGGTAAATTAGGAACACTGTGCATGTCTGACCCCATCAGACAGTGAGGGTTATAGTTTAGAAATATATCACTGACAACTTAATGAAAAATGAATTTAATACAAGTAAAGATATTATGCATTGCTTTACCTTTAGAGTACAATTCTGTCTGTTGTTGAAATATGGTACAAGGAAATACTATATTGTTATATTGACAAATATATCAGTTAGACTTTATAGAACCATGTATTTTGAAGTATCTGCTACAAGCTCAGCAACTTGCTGATTTGCTGCTAGACGAAGCACTGAGGCCAATGAAAGAGGGTCTTGGCAGCTACATAACTACGGTCTCTGACGGTTGGTTGACAGTAGGCCTACAGAGCATCACAGCGACCCAGTAACCAATCATCCCGGCTCACAGTCCCTCCAACTCTGCTGCAGGAATGCTAAAACTGTACAGATTTTATCATGCTGATATAAGCAAAAACATTTCTGTTGAAGATATTGCGTTGATTCAGTTGTATAGTCTTTTGTACAAAGGGATTTCATGACCGTTTTTAGACTTGTATTAATTTTACTCACTGGAGAAGAACTTTTTTTGTTTTGTTTTGTTTTTGCTGGATTATTTTAACCACTGTGTTTCCAAGCCTTGTAAATGATAGGGAATATACCAGTTATTTAATAGTGCTCTTTTATCTTATGAAATACTGGTCGCGTATAGCTGTTGTAAAGTTAACAAAAAGAGGTATTTATGATTTCTGTTTGGTTGTCACTTGATGTGTAAATATGAAAAGACTGTATATGTATTTCCATGGCAGTACTAACAAGCTGTGTTGTGTGATATAGTGAATTATCCCTTTGCTATCTTTTAATATAAAATTGCATTTGCATTTCAATGAAACTTTTGGCTCACTCATCTGTGCACTTACTGCCCTTAAGACAAATGTCTTCCTTATCCGACACGATGATGATATATAGCAATAAATTAAATGCAGATGTTGTAGTATTTAGAGAACCAACGGAGCACAAAAGTACATAACTTCTACTATCAAATAAGTTTGTTTCAGGCAGAGTGTTACAATATCTGGAGGAAAGAACATGATTTAGAAGATGTAAAGCAAGTTGCAGGTTCAGCCCAAGAGTTGGCACAACCTGAACCACAACCTAGACTCAGCTGGTATCTTATGTAATAAAAGGTAAACAAATAAATATATAGACAAAAATACAGCAATGCTGCGAATCTTAATAGGGTTATACCATATAGACACTACTAATTCTGGACTACCTCACTCACCCCATGAGCCCCTGTTTATATGCCACATTCAGACTTAATTAAGAATACGATAACATATATTTTAATGTCATTGTGAGGAAATGAGGAAGTGAGGAAGTTTGGCCAGTTATGGTGAGTAGTGAGAACCATAGATGTCTCTGATAACCTGCCAGACTACTACATCCAGGGGTTAAAGTTTACTCACAGCTTTTACACACAAGCACACAGAGAAAATATAACAAAATATATACAAAATATTATATGTATGTATATATTCTGCAAAAGACAAAGACTGCAGGGCTTCTATCACTTTTGTTGCTCTTGTGAAGCGACTGTGTGCACGTGACGGATATAGAACTTGTCATTGGCGGAAATAGCTATCAATTGTCCAATAAACGTCCACCATCCTGGCGTTGATTCAGCCAATCAGCGATCAGCTTTACCCGACGCACTTGTTTAAAACCAGAAAAGAAAAAAGCTTGTCATGAGGACACAACGGTGTGCTAAGAAGAACAAGAAATTCAAGAAAGAATGTTTATTAGAAGAGTGACACTGATACCTGCTCGGTTTTTGTAAGTATCATTCAGGTGCTTTTGGTTTACCTTTTTGTTTTAGGAAGAACTTTATAACATTTTAAAAACTGAAGCGAATGTAAGATGCTAGCATAGCTAACAGCTAACAATTTCGCTAACTCGGCTAGCGCTCGTTAGTTGGCCTTTTGCTTTAACCAACGTAACTGTTTGTATGTGACGCCGAAGGAAAAAACATTATCAGCCAACCATTCCTGTTTCTTCCACTGCCACATAGGCCTGTTTTAGTTTCTTTACGATAGATTTCAAAAACCGAGATTGGCCACGTTTTATGCGCATGGCCGTGGCTAACATGCCTGCCTTGCATGGGCCGTCGTTTTACGCAGGTGTTGCTAATTGTGACCAACTTCCCACATTGCAGTGATTTAACAGACTCCGGACTAGCAGTCACGGCAGATGATACAGACTGGATGAAGCTACCTGCGAACCAGACATGTGCACGCAAGGTATACACAAACAAAACAGGCATGTCGGTGTCTCCGACAGGGCGTTGCATGTAAGAGTCGGGGGGGTGTTGGCGGGTGAGGGTGATGAGTTGCACTAATCAGTTGGGGTGTCTGCTGCAGTGGCATCAGCACCCCAATCCGACCCAACCTGAGGACACAGAGTGTGCACAGGGGCCATCTGACTCAACCCACTCCCCCCCTTTGTTTGGTCAAAAGAGTTTGTGTTATGCATATTTATTTTATTTTTTTTAGAACATGTATTAATGCCTTCTGTTTTGTTTCTTTCTCGTTTTTGTGTGGAAGGATGCTGTACTGTGGAGTTTCTCAAGCTCCACTTCCCCCTCCCTCAAGCAGAACTTAACTATCAGCTTACTGACCTGAAGCCCAGCTCTTTCATTTCTCAAGGTTTGTTTTTAAATGTGCTGTCTAACTAGGATAATTATTTCTTTTGCTTTTACCAAAGGGTTTTCTTACTTTGTTTTTAGTCACCCACAGTGCTATTGACGAGTGTCCCTGAATGACTCTGGTTTTCCAAGGAAAGCATCTGCTTCAGATAATAAAGAATATCTGTCATGTACCCTAATCAGTTTATTGGCTTCTGTCCACTAGTTTGTTTTTTTTTTTTTTGGATGCATTTTATTTGACAAACGATGTGTCGCGGTAACATTTCTTCATGCAAAATAGTTACTTGTATTGGAAGTTGGACAGCTGAGTGAATTCGTTATGGCAGTCACTATAGCTGCTCGTCTTTTAGATTGATAAATTAAGCTGAATCACTTTCATTGTATCGGAAGGTATTTTGATGACTCTGATCTACATTGTAAGCTGTATGGACCTTCATCCAGACTGTTTAACAGGAACCTTTTTCTAAAAAGTGGGGGACTCAACTGGGGAAACTAGGGTCACACAGGGTTGCAATTGAAATGCCTTTCCTTTTTTTGTTGTGCAATACCTTAATAGTGTTTTAGAGAGCCACTAGGGTGTGGCAGTGATGAGTTGCACTTTTAGTCAGGTTGCTGATTGCAGTGGCACAGCAAACCTGTCCTTGACAACCTGTGATGACACCCATTGTGCACAGGGGCCATCTGAGTCACTCAAAAACTGAAAGGGGGGAAAAAAGTGGGCCAGTGTTTAAAGGTTTTTCTTTTGTCATGTCTTGACCTACTATTCTGTGCTTTTGTTCTGCTCTCTTCCTTTCCAAGCCTGCAGATGGGAGACTTCAAAGATGTGGTTAGGAAAGATGTTGGAGCCATTGTGAACAAAATGTATCCTGCCAGCAAAAGCTTTGCCTTCATACTGTGTGGAATAAAGTCTGCCTACTCAAACCTGAGAGCTGGTGAGCAAAAACAACCTAGTTCAACTAACTCTTGTTTTTTTTTTTTTTTTTTTTTTTTTTTTTTTTAAATTATGAAAAGCAAATCCTTTCTCTTACCTGTTTGTCCTCTTTTGTGGATTGTCTCATCTTTGTAAAAGGTCACAGCAAAAAGACACAAAATAAAGATGAGAAATGCAAAAACATAGCTAAACCTGTCATATTTTACATGGTGTAACTTCCATGTGAAGTTGGACAACAGTGAATTTTTGAGTGCATAAAACAGATTGTTGGTTATTGGTGAAAATGAATGATGGCTTTTATTCACACCAATCATGTTTTCAGTCTGCTTGATGTCAGAGATGCTCAGTGACCTCTTGGCAATGGTAACATACAGTGAGAAGCTGTTTTTACTTTTTGTCTAGCACATTAATTTCTTACTGTGTTAATGACTTGATACATTTCTATTCTATCATTTAACAGCTTCCATGAGCCAGCAGCTGCTCTGTTGGTCAATGATCCAGTTAAAACTTAGGCCACTTGATAGTTGGCTTCTTTGGGGAAACAAAAACTGCCCACAATAGTGTTTTTCATACTTTTGTCCTTATTACTTCCTTAACTTTGTCATAGTCTGCTTTTAAATTTCTTTTGTCCTCTTTCTGTCTCCCTCCTTTTGTCCCTGCAGGTGTTCTCACACCCAGAAAACTACCAGCCCGGTAGCAGCAGCCACTGGTGCAGTCGCAACTCACAACCCAAGTTCAGCCTGGACCTCTGCCTGCTGCACACGTCTCCTGCTGTTGGTCCCTGAGCTGCTGCAATACAACCTGAGCTGATCTTGTCTGATGCAGAACGACATAGTTCCTGTATGTGAATTTCCACTAAAAGCTTTTATAAGGTCCTAAACCTTTTATGTTAACTAATAAGGAGGGCTTGCTGTTAGCACTGAACTCCCAACTTTAAAAAATGTAAGATTTTAAATTGGCACTTTCATAGATTCAGAAGAAATACAAATGGCTTTTAAGTGTCCTTCGGCTATATATTGAGATGGGTCTGATTTCTGTCGTAGTTCAGTGACTCGATGTCAAACCAGAAGCATCTGCAGGGCAGGAGCACCTCATTCACTGTGAAGAGGCACAAACTGAGTCATTCTGATAAGAATCAATATTGGACAGTCCAACTAGAAGTCACAATTGCACTTTTAAGTCATGGAAACAGGATATTGATATTGTAACTTGAATGTTGGAATAACAAATATGCAGTTCCTTAACAGAATTTTTGTTGTGTGCCCCCCTCTATTTTTCAGTGTAAAAATTCTGTGATATTAACATCAGATTGTGGTTTTGGTAAACTACAAGCAATGATGCTATGAGGTTTACCTGTAATGTCAAAATGACCATCAGAGATGACATACATTTTTGTCTGGCCCATTGATGACATTGATGATTCTCTTTGTAGGCTCTGTCTGCCTCCCACTGCTTATCATCGTGACCCAAATCCTGCCTGTGTTAATGCTGGTCACAGCCCAGATTCTGTCTGGGGACCTGAATGTCAGCAGGCAGGTTTTTACACAGGTGAGGACATATTTTCTTTTTTAATCAATTTGATGCATTTTTATTCTGAGTGAAAAATTTAGTCTGACTCTGTAAAAGAGGAGTTAAAACAAATGATAGAAAAAAATATCTGTTGAGCTGTTTTTTCTGTTTTTATAAACATTTTTGCTTTAAATTACTGAAGACAATTTTCCAAGACTAAAACTTTTCCATTTTTGCTCAGTCTTGTCTGTTACTCTGAAGACAGACCCATCTCTTCTGTTTTTTTGCTGTGCAGATGGACGAGGTGTTGGACCAGAGTAGGATGTCAGAAGCTAACGGCATCAGCAGTGCTGCACAGCATCTTCAGTATCAACACTGACCATTGTGTGCCTTGGGAAGACATCTCACAGTTCTATATGCTGTATTGTGAGCTTATTGCTGGTGAGGAACACAGGAGGAAATCCAGTTTAGCTAATTCAGACCGCCTTCATTTTTCCATCTGTTTTATTTAATTTACAGAATTCAATCAAATCAAAAATGTACTGCTTAAATTACAATCTTAAAAACTAGAGAAATGGGGTGTTCCTAAACTTTTGACCGGTAGCGTATTTCTAACACTGTTGTCATGGCATCCAACTTTTCAGTAATCCTTTTGAGTCTGGCAGTTTTTTACAGTGGTGACTGGAAGGGGTTCACAGTGTCAGTGGATTCCTCTGAAGGTGTTGCAGTTTTTGTGGTTTTCTTGCATCATCAGAGGCCGCAGCTCATCATAAATATCTGCAATATTCTCAGAGGTTTTGTCAGCCAGCAGCAGCTTCTCAGACTTGATAATGTGTGCATTTTGAAGCTGGGTCTGGGCAACATGACATAAAATCCATATGCTTTTCATTGACCTCAGTAATAATAAAGGCAACAATTTTAAAAAAACATAATTTTCCTTTTTTTTGGGGGGGGGCAACCAATTCTGACTTTATTAAACAGACTGGGGACAAACCAAACATGACTGGAACATAAAGAGTCTATCAACCTTTTAAAACAACCTTTTGTGCTTTTGTCATTTCATTGAACAAAATTTTAATATGGTTTTTATTTTGTGTTGGAGGTAATTGGGGAAAAATTGGAACTGCATTTTTATTAAGTGCAACAAGACAACACCGTTAGCCACAGCTGTCAAATACTGGTATATTTATATGGGTTTTCCAACTTTCACATGGATTGAGTTCTAGTCGTTGACTTGATTGGGTGGGGGGGCCATAGTTACTATACTTCATTTAAATCCAACTTCAGCTGTAGAATTGCTTTTTCATTTTAGCTATATTTTTAATTTTAATATGCATACTATTGGTAAGTCAGACCAGTTGAAGACAAAGAAGTGACGGCCTGGTGCCTTCCATAGCGCTCCAATCTCTGCTGTACAGCATGTCTTTAACCACCAGGTGGCAGTTGAACATCAGTGTTCCTCCAGTCTGGGGAAAAAATGCATCTGTCCTGGTGCTGCCTCAGTCCCATGTGAAATAAGGAAACACATTTCACTGGTTTGTTTCTGTTACAGGCTCCACACAAAAAATGTCTGCAGTTCCTGCAGGGAGAAAACTCAGTGGCCAAAGCTACAACTGTGAATAAAACCTTTGTCTTGGAGGCAGGTTCCCACAAATCTTTTGATTCTGTAATTCCTTCACCAAACTCGCAAATCCCCATTTTGAATATTCACATTGCTTTAGTAGTTAAGAGGTTCTTTTACCAAAGTCTGTTTGCCAAGAAAAGTGTTTCTGCTTGACAATCCTTTCAGGATATTTAGGCTTCTTGATGGGGAAAAAAGGTGTATGCAGTTAGGTTTGACACACACACACTCACAATGTTTAAGAATGGACTGCAGCTATGTTACAGCACTTAGAATCTGTTCAGACGTCAGTATAAAAACGTATAACAAGGGATCACATATAAACAATATTTTACTCAATTCAATTATTGTATATAAATTTTAAAAAGTTCATGTTCCGTCAGACTTTCCATACCTGTAAGTTAGGTTATTTGATGCCAGTGTAATGCTTTAATGTACAACCTGTGTGATGACAGGTCAAAAATATAGTGATCCTCAGTTAACTCGGGGTTTAGATCCTGTACTTCTTGACTCTGATACAGACTGACACTGAATGGAGAGTGTATGATAGATGAACCTCTGATTTTAATGACTGGCAGTTTTGCCTGGAGTCAGAAGCAACGTTACCTTTGACCTCAAAGGTCTGAGTGCTGTGGAAGAGCTTACCTGTTATTGATCTGTGTGCATATGTTCGCCCCAAAGTTTGGCATGAAAGGTGCTATTCAAATGTCAAAAATTGAAACGCCTGCAGTAAATTAGTGTAAATGATTTCATTATTCACAGTGCCTTTAATCTTTTTTTAAACTGCTGGGAACACTGATTAATAACTTCACCGCATTCTACAAAGATTATTTTTGCATTCAAGTCAAAGTCCGCTGTGAAGGGCGCTCGGTGACTTCACTCGATGTAGAACAAGAGACAAATCAATTATTCATCTCTTTAATTGTGAACCGACACCAGATTTCTTCTTAGAGCAGCGCCTCAAAGGTTGCGTGGTCTTGTTTATGGCAGACCACTGTCATTAACTTAAAGACATCTCAGAGCACCATGGGAGTCATCTTTAGTGCCGGCTATTGTCAATCCAGTTGTTGCTTCTTTTTGTTTTTCCCCCCTCAACCCTCCCAAAGCCGTCAACATCAGCCGAGCTGTCTGTCAGGCTGTGTCACAGAGCTGAACAGAGCCCTCCGTCTGGGCACTTTTCCTGTCAGACTGAACCTGACTGTACTAGTCTGTAGCCTGACACCACTGCTATAGCAACCAGAGAGCAGCAGGCTGCTCAGTGTGTGTGCACTGACAGGAGGAGGTGGTTATGTTGGCCGTGGTGGAACATTTCGTTCAAAGATGTTGTTTTATAGTCTCTTGTACGGAGTGAAATTTGGGCTGTGATGTGCTTTATGGTTTGTTCACTGACATGTTATCTTTCAGTCCTGTTCTCCCTCTGGCTGTCTGAGGATAGCAGTCCTCTCTTCCCTCCTGCCCTTCTACCTTCTTCATTCTCTCTGCTGCAGTTGAGACAGATGTTCTCATTCACTTTGCAGAGTGTTTGATTCTCTGGGAGCAACAAACTAATTATTTGCAGTTTTCATCATCTTGTTTTCAGATGTGCTCTGGTTCAGGAACAGACATCATGATGCTTGGCAAACTTATGGACTGTGGTGTATTTTATTGCAGGACAAAGTTCACAAATCATTTAAAATTGAGGTATAGTATTGCAAAAATATGTTTGTTTTTTTTTCATTATTGGTCAACGGCACAGTTTCAAATGTAAAAGTTAAGTATTTGAAGTTGACAGAAAAGCTTCCCTTCAATGACATTTTTGCCACTGAAATGAGCTGAATTCAGTGCAAATGTTTTTGTCCTTAGACCGAGCTGAAAGGCTTTGCAGGTGTTCACTCTTGAGATTTCCTTAATTTGGCTTTGTATTATTTATACTGGCTGTTGGCGGAGTTGCTCATCGTGCTGCATATGTCCTTTTACAGGTAGAAAAACATTCAGAGTTGCTTTCACACGTCCACAAGGGATTTTAAAGAGGGTTTTTTTTTTCTCTGTCTCTCGTCTCATTTCCCTCTCTGTCCCTGCAGAAAGCTGTGACTCAGGGCTGTGATTGACAGGAGTGCAGAGAGCGATCATAGAGGACTGACTGACTAGACTTTGTGACCGCAGGCAGCTCTTGTTTTGCTTTTAACTGATCTCCGAGGGGAGTTGAGGAACATCCAGCTGTCCACAGATGTTTCCCGAGTATTGCAGGGGAAAAAAATATGTCCAGCACCTGTGAAGAGTGAAGCAGAGTCGGGGCATCTCTTAAAAGAGATAAATATGTTTGTGCAGCCTGAGGAGGCCGTCCTGCGAGTGTGCAGGTCCAGAGGGAGCTGCACCTTTCACGGTGCTCTGAACACACTTGTTCAGGTTGCTGTGCAGATGGCGATCAAAGGAAGGTTTCATATCAACAGCTACAACAGCTTCTCTGCTAACCAGGTCATGTTGATTTGTTCATCTCCTGAAAATGACCCATCAGGGACGTAACCCTCGGCCCCCAGTGAGCTGCGTACATGAATGAACATGCTGGTCACATGTTTGGCCAACACATGTTAATAGTAAGAGGCAGCTCGGTGTCAGTTAATTAAGAGCTATGCAGAAAAATGTGCCTTTGTAGAATTTTGCCTTAAAGGGCCTCATCAATCCATGATGAACGTGATGTTAATGGCTGCATTTCAGATTTACTAGATGGTATCACTGACACATTTGTGCGCTGGGTTTAATCAGATCAAATTCACATAAACTCGCATCTTTGCTTTGACTTTATAGGCAGTCGTGCCTCTAACATTGGTCATCTGCTAGATAACCTGTTTGCAAAAATTCCAATTCCTATTTGCCCCGTTCAGATCATATTCATATCAACACATCTGACGTATTCCTTTAATGTTTTTTGTTTAGTTTTTTCTGTCAGATTGAAATGGCCAATGACTCAAAATACAATATAATGAGTTTTAAACCATGAATTTCCCCTAGGGGATAAATAAAGTATATATCTATCTACCTATCTATCTATCCATCTATGAGTATATGAGCTTGAGCTGGTATTGCTGGGGAGAAGACGTGAATCAGAGCTGCAGCTAAATTTGGTTGATGTGTTGCAGATCTGCACTTGCTGAATTCATTTAACAATGAACTTCTGACTTCTGTTTTATCAGATAACTACAAAGTCTAAATTTTAGTGTCGACACGCTTTGAACTGTTGTATGTGGCAGTGAGTGACTCAGTGTTTCTAACTGTACTGTTTCTTGGGGTTTCTACTCTACTATTTTATGTACACAGCCTCTTACACTGGAATTTTATCAAAGAACTAAATATTTTCTAACACAGTTGCTCGTCCTTTGCTCCAATCATACAATTTAAACTTTAAAGGAGCTATTTGTAAGTTTTTCCTATTGCTACATTGCCACGTCAGTTTTAACAGCTGTTTATTTACCAGTCTAGAAGAAACATTGTGAGACTTCTTCAAACTTCATTCCTTTACTCACCAATAGTTGTCTTCAGTGGTGGAAAGCAATTCCGATGTTAACTCTTGTCCCTATCACTTCTTTTATTCGACTGAAGTTAGCACGCTAACTAGTTAGCCACGGCCCATCTCGTCACTTTCCAATAGCAACTCACTGCAGCCTCCAATCTGCCCTGAAGACGCTCAGAGGACGCATTATAACCTCCTGTCTTGTAAACGCGACAATGTCTGAAGCGTTTGTCAAGCAACAATCACCGCCACCTGCTCCTGTCAAGAAACCAAGTTTGGCAACAGAGAAAATTTAAAAATTGTCAGTCACCTAACTTTCATCTGTGCAGAAGGTGGAACCCTAGACACCCCCCAAAAAAATAGCTTCTTACTTCCAACCAATTCGAAAAAATGTTCAGAATTCAATTTGCTGCTGATCTTTAAGCTGCTGCATCTTTGTGTGATACTGTGGATTTAGATTAAGGTGCAGTTTCAAACTTGTCATTGTCACTGAAAGTGTCTTGTTCCTAGTTTCACCTTGTATCTTATATAATACCTCTGTGGTTGTGCAGATAGTGAGGGAGGCTCCAACAGGAGTGCATACCCACCAACATTTATCTATACACACGTAAATGTCCAAAAACAGATAAAAGATTGAAATGATAATACGCCAGAATGTTCTTCACCGTTTCAACCCTGTGTGCTTTATTTGTATTTGCTTGGGAATGAAAAGGAACACGTACATAAAAATACAGTGAGGGATTTAATTGTTAGGCTGTTTTGTAGCCGCAGTAAAGTGTGGTTGACACA